GGGGTGCAGGGACCCTGCTCGGCAGGACACCCCCGGGCACCCGCGCCTGCACCCGCGCCTGCACCCCCTGCAGCCGTCCCCGGGAGAAGGCAGAGCCATGGCCTGTCCCTCTGGCAGCGCAGCAGGGAAGCCCTGCTCGGGAGCACGGCCTCCTCCTCTGGGCAGGAGGGAGGTTCCTGGGGCTGTGCCGGCTGCACCACATCCCTGCGCCACCTGCACCCACAGAGCGACTGTGTCAAGAGCCGCCACAGTTCCAACTCCCGTGAGCCCTGAGTGTTCTCCCAGTGCCGTCCGCCTCTGCCCTCGCTGTGCCCGGCTCCTGTGCCCTCGGCGCCTGCAGGCAGTGCCCTCGGCCCTGCTGCCCTTTGCAGAGGAGCTGCTCCTGGGCAGCGCTGTCTCTCTGCCGCGCTGACCACTTGCCCTCAGCTCCCTCCGGCCCAGGAGCACGGCCCAGCTCCGCAGCACAGGACCAGCCCGAGGCATTTTAACATCCCCGCGGGTGGGTTTGGAGCAGAGTCCGTGAAACTCGGGCGGCGATAGGAAGTTGAAGACACCTCTCCAGAAGTCAAAGTCAGATGCAAACTCCACAGTTTCTTGGAGCGTTAACGGGTCCCGCTAGAGACAGCACTGACAGAGCCTCCCGAGGGGCTGGGCAGAGCAGAAGACTCCTGGAGGAGGTGACAGCTAAACAAAGACTGGGAGCCTCTTTATTTTTGTAAAGGTTTCAACCACACCAAGAAGAGCAGTTTTCTGATAGGAAAAAGCCTTGCTGTGAAAGTGCAACTGAAAAATCCATTATTCTTCTGGCACCAGGGCAATGTCTGATGTCCCAGTGCAGAATGGGGGATGCTGGTGAGGCTACTGAGGCCCTGCAAGGCAGATGCTGCTGCTGGGGGAGTGGAAGGAGGGAGTTCCTCCATGATGCTTAGCCCTGTCCCTTGGTAACAATAAGGCTGTTGTTCCTTTACTGGTGTGCTGCAGTCACACCTTCACTACTTCTTAGGACACACTAAGGACCTGTCTCTTCCCTGCAACACACCGAGATGCCAGAACTTTAGGCCTTACCTTCAGGCGGTGCAGTGCAGAGCTGTAGTGAACCTGCCAGCTCCCACCCAGCGGCTGCAGAGTGCTGCACCTCTGCTAATAAATCCTATGTAAAGACCAGTGTCGTAGCTCCCCGAGAGGTGATGGGATGTTAGCCCAGATGTGTCACTGCTGAGCATGGCCATCCTCTGTCCACAATATAGACAAGCCCCAGCCTGAGAACTCATCACTTACACCTAAGAACACATGAAAACTTCCCGTTAGTCCATCAGTGAAAAGTTAATCTGCACACAGTTAGTGGCACAGACACCAGTGTAAAGGCAGGTAAATCAATATAACCATCTAAATCCCCGTTAGATTTATCCTAGGCATATAATGACAGAGCAGCACACACACACCGGGACTTGCAATCATCAAGCTGTACTCCTATAATTAACTGTTGCAACTTCCTGACATAGTGGGGCTTTAAGTAAGAGCTTTTGAAAAGGTTATCCTTTGACTGAATGAAGTCTTATCCTAACACGTCTCTAAATGGTGCTATTTTTGGAATGAGAAATGTCACTTCTTTCCCAAAACAGGCCCATCTGAAACTGGTCACCAGGCACTGACACATTAGTAGAAAAACTCTTTTCTCCCTGGGTTTAGCTGGTGTGAGAAGTTGCTCAAATTCAGTTTGACCATGTAATTTGTGGACAGTTGTTTGAATGGCTTAATGTGTTGTGAATCAAAAGAAGAAATTCTATTCTAAGTAATTAAGATGGAATGGTAATTATTTTTCTCTCTCTGTAAGTTCACTTTCTGAAGAAGGAAGGAGAATACTGAGCTTTCAAATCCCTTTATTCTTTTTGCCACGGAAGTAGTCCTCATTTGCACCCACAAATGTTTGCACATACTTATTTGGATCTTCACTGGCCAGGCACAGAGTTGCTTTGAAAACTGAGCCCACCTAATGAGTGAAGGAAAACAGGAGCTGGTGCTGATCAGAAAACATGCAGCTGCTCTACTGTATCTTTCTTCTACAGGTTTCTCCAAGTACTTGACAAATTTTAAGATCAACAGCAAGAAACGCTAAAGGGCAGGTAATTGTTGTAAACCGTTTTTAAATGTGGGACTTAACATTTGCCCTGAAAGGCAAAAATTACTTAAGTCACTTGGCTGATGATCAGAGGGTACAAATCAGAAGCCTTAAATACCCAGCCCGCACAAAGCAGCTCTTCCAGCCAGTTATTCCTGACATGTCAGCGACACGTTTGACCGCGCTGGCGTCTCTATTTATTTGCTCATTTTCTGTAACCTCAGCCTGCCAAACCGTGCATCTGTTTGGGCTGCTGTCAATCACACGTCAATTTTTATTTTACTTGGCTCAAATCAAAGCTGGTGTTTTGACAAAAGGGGGTGGGGGAGGGGAAGAGCACCTGACAAAGCACTGAAGGCAAGAGAGAAAGGCAGAGACCTCAGAGGTGGGGGAGAAATGGGTTATTTATTATCCATGAAAATGATGCAATAGTGTGTGGGAGATGCAAGGAGCAGAGAATTGCAGTGAGAGTGGTGATGTACTTTTGGGGTGGGTTTCTCGTGCCGTTTTAGGAGGTGCAGAAGAGGAGGAGGGCTGAGCCTTGGGCAGCAGCGGCCCAAGGAGGTCTACGCAGGAGGTCAAGGAATAATAACGTAAAAAGGTCAAGGAAAATCCCCCATCTCATTCCCCTTGACAAGCCACTGCTTCGCAGGTTGAGTTCAAGGGACGTGAGGATGGCTGTGCCCCCGTGCCCAGAGCTGCTCTGCACTGGTCCCCTCTGGCTGGTGCTCTGGGGACCTCACAAACACAGCCCAGTCTGGGGGCACAGGCTCAAATGGGGGGTGTGGGTGCTGGTGTATGAACCGATGCACTGATGTGCCACAGGGTGGGGATCCCTTCATGGCAGGGAGAGTCGCTGGAAGTGTCTAATTTTACTTGGGTGACACCAGAGCCCCAGACCCACACTGGCAGCGAGCAGTTTCCATGTTATTTTATATAAGCTAAAAAAAAAACAACATACAGATCTTGTATTGACTTTGGACTCAGGTGAGTTTTCTCCTAATAGGGATTTTTAAACCTGTGTAGGAATTATTTTGCCCGCTCTTGAGAGATTTCTCAATTTCTCATTCATTATTTTCAATTCTGAGATGGGATTTTTTTCCCCATATTTTGTGTAAAATTCTGAGGAGATGCAATAGCTTTGGAGATTGCTCAAACCTTTTGGGTTTAATGACTGAAATGTCTCCCTCCTATTTTACTTTTTAAAACTGAATACCATTTTAATACCAATGGGGGAAAAAAAAAAAAAAAAAAAAAAAAAAAACAAATGGAAAATCAAAACAGTTTCACTCTGTGGTTTTTTTTTTTCAAATAAAGTGTGATTGAAGTCAACATGTTCTGAGCAACATCTCACTCATCATGAAATGGCATTTTCTGACAGAACATTTTTTTCATAAAATGAGCCCTCAGTCTGGGATTCCTGTATAATGTTATTAAATGTGGATATTTGGTGGATCTGAACGTAGAGAGGAGACACAAATTATAGCTAGCGTGGACCAGTGATTATTCTTTTTTCCTATGTTAAAACAAAATAACTTATAATCATCCAGAGTAGCCGGACTCTTCTGCTCAATATCTTCATGAAGACAACAGATACAATTAGAAAGCTGTAGCTGTGTCTTGAAAATAGGGGCAATGAACCAAAGCAATTGAACAAAAATAGGTGCCAATAAGAGCTAAGAGACTACACATTTTTTGGTTCAATGGTCAAATGGAAAAAAAAATACATTTTGAGTTAACCTGGATTGAAAATTTTTCAATTTTTCCAGTGAAGCAAAAAGTTGAAAAAATTAATAGCAGATTGCTTTTCCTTTTAAGCTTTTTTTTTAATTTTCTGTTCCATTTCTTTTTCAACTACTTTTAAGGGAAGTTTCAGAGCCTTATTTGAGCAATCCCAACCTACAGTCTCGTGGTGGAAAAACACAAGTTTTGCCCCAAAGTATCTCATCCATTGCCAAGTGGTATGAGGAAAATTAAGTTAGACTTCCAGAGGTGTTAATTGCATGAGCTGTGTTCATAAAATACTGATGATTCATCTCAACTGAGTATCAGACCCCATCCTTGAGGGGACCACATTATTTTCTGCCTTTGACACTCACTGTCGATCGTTCACCAGCACTGCTCCTCCCAGGGTGTCCTTGCAGACAATTAATTTGAGGACAAGACGCTTTGTTCTGGTTATTGGAGTTCCCAATGAGGCGGCTGTTTTTGGAAACAACTCACAATGGAAATAAACCAGACCAGATGCCAGACCAGACACCAGGGAATTCTTTAACACTCATTTGTGGTTTCTTTTCTGCAAAAGAAGCAGATTTAGTTACACCAAAATGTTTGGTGAGTCCATATTTATGTTACTGAATCTCCTACTTTAGAATATTCTGAAGCATTTAGAAAGCATAGCTTTGATGTTTGCAGAGCTTTGTTTCTTCAAGTTTCCTTTCAGAAATTGTTTCACATTTACCTAATCTGTCATCAAAAGGATAGGAAGCAAACCAAAACATTTCTTTTCTAGTTCACCATAAACCACATTTAATTTCAGAATTTTGAGTACACCAAACATGCAAAAATTGTGATCAAACCTTTAACTAGATTATGCATCAGCTTTTTCTGAAGTTATAGAATACCTGACCAGCCTAAAGCAAACCCTGTTTTCCACCCAGATCTGGCCATGGGAACCAGCAGGGTGAATACAATTTTGTTTGCTCACTCTAATCCCCATGCATAAATCTGCCTGTGGCCC